CGATAGCACCGGCCATGAGTTCGTTATTACACTGCTGGACAATTGCTAAGGACGGATAACACTATTCTCCATAGCAACCACAAAATGAAAGGAAGCAAAATGTAGAAAATTAGAATAAGTGCGGGATATTAGTAAGAAGAAGTATGAGTATGCAAATTTTTTTCCACGTCTGTTCATCACGTGATAGCGTTCATAAGAGCTTTAAAGGTTTTGACGCGTGTGGACAGTTGTCGTTTCAAGTCAAAGTTTTACAGGAAAGATTTAATAGACGAACTTAAAATTTTTGGCATGTCTTCCCGACATCACATAGATGATTTTATGCGTGGCCGAATTATTGGAAAGATCGAAGAAGGGCGAAAAAATAACAGATGTTGCCAGGAGTTCGACATCGCTCACAGCGTTGTTTCACGGCTGTGGAAGTCATTTAAAACTACTGGAATGTGTAGTAGACGGCACGGGGGAGGTTGTGTTAGAAGTACGACGTCTGCAGAAGACAGATATATCGTCCTCTCAGCAAAAAGGAACAAGCGCACCACAGCTCAGCAGGTGGCAAATCAGTTTCTTGCTGCCTCAGGAAAGCAGATCTCCCGAAAAACTGTTGCCAGACGTTTGATGGGAGGACTATATGCCCGCAGACCTGTTGTGTGTGTCCCATTGACCAGACAGCATCGTACTGCCCGTTTCTAATGGTGTCGTGAGCATCACAATTTGACTGAACAGGACTGGGCATGCGTACTATTCTCAGATGAGAGTAGGTTCAGTCTGTCATCGGATTGTAGACGCCAACTGATCTGGCGCGAGAGTGGTACTGCTTATCGTCCAGAAAATATCCAGGAAAAGGACCAATATCTGACATGAAGTATCATGGTGTGGGCCGGCATCATGATCAATGGCCGCACGCGCCTACATGTGGTTGTGAATGGGACTATGATGGGCCAACGATACATTGATGAAGTTCTACTTCCTTATGTTCGTCTTTTCCGTGGTGCTGTCGGTGATAAATTTGTTTTTATGGACGACAACGCAACTTGTCATCGAACACTCGCTGTTCAGGATTGTCTAGACAGCGAGGGTATTCGACGTCTCGTATGGCCAGCGCGTTCTCCAGATCTAAACCCCTTTCAAAATGAGTAAGATGCTTTGGGGAGGCAAAATGCTGGGCGAAACTATCCTCCGACAAACAAGAACACCCTCATCCGTGCACTCAGAGGAATGGGATAAATTGCCTCAACAGCTGCTGGATAATGTTGTGCAAAGTATGGTACGACGTGTGGAACGTTGCATCACACTCCACGGTGGACATATCCCGTACTGATACCTTTTCTTTAAGGTGCCTGCTGACTTTTAGATGCATTGTTCCATTTCTCCGTACGCAGATCAAATGAACATTTTTTCTTTCAGATGTTTGTTTCACAGCTTTTGTACTTTCCAGAACAATAAATATTCTTTATTCTAATGTCTGAACAGTCTGAAACTATATTTTATCCTACTAGGCCTCATGTCTCGCTTAATGTTATGCTACATAGCAATTTGTGATCCGTCCTTAGCAATTGTCCAGCAGTGTAGAAATTAGAAACATTTGGATGCCGGGTCCGTACATTGACTAGAGATGAATACAAAAAATCCAGCTTCATTCTTACTCAACGGAAATGTTTAAAAAGTAGTTTTACTGGCAATAAAAGTATTGAGAACAATACATCGTAATTAATAATAATTAAAAAGTCTTACACTATATAAGTATTTAAACTTCTAGAATCATTTCCAAAAACGAAGCTATTCGAAAAGTGACAGCACAGAGTATTACTGATGCTAGTTGCTCGTACGATAAACCATTCACAAACAAGCGTGCTTATTAACACATTTTCTTTGAAACTTCTTAATCAGTTTGAAGCAATACAAAATAAATATTTAACAATTATCGATTTCTTCGTTTGTTATTAACCACAAAGCAAAATTATCAAGACCATATTTTTATATTAAATTTTTAGCATGGTTATTGATGTCAGAATTATTTTTTACATGTAGTAAATAATCATTGAATGTCCTTCAAAGCTCTTAAAAATTCATTGTTTTAAATGGACTTTTGATTTATATAAGCGATTGAAGACATATCCTATTATTTAAAAGTAACATATACAAACTTTAATACTTTGATCATTTGTACGGTTTATAATTAAGGTTGTATTATTGCTGTAACATCACATCACATTATTATTGGATTCAATACATTATCATTGCATGGGGGAGGGGAAAGAAAATCATTTAATATTGGGTCGTCAATATTGAAAGTTTGAGAAGCACTGTCGTAGGTTAAAGTCATGATGCCACTGAAGACCCGCCGTGTAGAGGAATTGACGCACGTTCAATCAATCGAAACTTAATTTCTCCCGTTGGCGTGGTGTGGTAGTTTGGAGAGTGGGTTGCTAGTTCAGGTGTCATCCTCGTCACTTGACCAAGGTTGAAAATTTTGTGGTCTGATGTCAATAGCACTCGTGTTGCTTTATGGTGCGATATTAGTTAATCCTCATTCACTCTCAGATTTCTGAATATTAGCATAATAAAAGAAAATACTTATCAGAAGTAACTAAGATAGTTTCGTTGTTTTTGAAATGATAACAAAAAAAAAGAAAGGAAAGAAAAAAGCCCACGTATTCTTACACAAAGTGATTTTATCAAAATATCCACCTCCGCAATGTTCCAAAAGAGGAACTAATTCATAAAAATTTCATTTTTATAAAACTCATTTATTTTCCCTTTCAAAAAATATCGACATCTCCATTGTTTCAATTCTGATTCATTGTTCAACTGTGTACCACGCATACGATTGTTCAAAGATCGAAACGGGTGATAATCTGAAGTGAGATATATGATTGGGAAATGATCTCTCATCCTATATACGCCTAATTTCTATCCTACTGTAACCTCTGGTCGTGTGTGTTACGCATTTTACTTAAATTTCCCTTCCATCCCTATTTTGTTTGTGTTTCTTCACTAACTTTACTCTTTGATCTGGAATTCGGTACAATCTCCAAATTGTCAGTTTCCATTTCATGGTTTGTCTGACCCACTGTGCCGTCTTTCAGGGATTCAGCCCGAGCACAAAATACTTGAAATCAAATCCGGAAGTTTTTAACCCGGAAAATGTCGCGCGAGGCACTGAGTCACCCCATGTTCAGGAAATCGTTAATTCTGGGAAAACTGTTTATTTGTTACCAATGGCCTTGATAGTATTCTCCTATATGAAAGTCTTCATGGGAACTAAAATGTATTTATCACATATCTCCATCTTTTTTGGGAGTGGCAAACATTTATTTACAAATTTTAAGGTAATTTGTTTCAACTGAGTTCCCCGCTTGGCAACTTTTGTTCCAAAATATTTTCTATGAACATGTTACATTTTCTCCTTGTGAACAACTTCGTGGTTTTTAATGCTATGTTGCACGATGCATTCTGGTTCGTCAATTCAATTCAACATCGCGCATATAAAGTTATTATTGGTGCAGTTTCCTCCACTAACAACGAAAGGGGGTGGGGTCTCCCTCCTCTCGAGTGGAGGCGAAACCTTGCCACTGTTAAGTTCGCCAACAAATTACGATGCTACAAGGAAGATCACATCTCCATCAGAGTATTCAATGAGTGGACATATACGAAGAGACTTTAAAGATCATCAACGCTACAACTTGATGAGGATATTAGAATCCAAATAAATTTAGAACATCCCATTTTGAACTTTATGCAAGAGCCTCCCTACCCCAGAAAGCCTCCAAAAGAAACGAAAATTACTCTAAGTCTCCTGCGCCCTTGCTCAAAGAAAGAAGATGCAAGAATTCTCAAACAGAAGGGCCTTGAAACGATAGAGAAAATCTCTCAGGACAATTTTGCGGTTGTCTATTCAGAAGGCTCATCTGACATTTCTCTCGACAAGGGAGGAGCTGGCATTCTCTTCCAATTTCCAAATAAAGAAAGAAAAATGCACAAAATTAACACTGGGTTAATAGCGTCTAATTTTACCAGCGAACTTCTTGCAATTAAGGAGGCACTCATCCTGTATTCGACCCATCTGGAGCTCTCGGGCACAACTGAAGGATTGGCTATTTTCTCCGACTCAAGAGCGGCCTTAGAAGCAATCATTAAAGGAGATACGAACATAACCTCTGCTATCAATGTCCTACTTGAAAGTTTGCATTGTAAAGGGAAATCCTGCTTATTGCAATGGATTCCTGCTCACGTAAACATTGAGGGAAACGAGTGTGCGGACTCCCTGGCCCAAGAGGGCAGAAATGATGACCAACTTTGTCCCACCATTACGCTTGCAGATGCAAATGCGGTCGCAAATTACAGACTTCTGCCTCGTCGCTACCAAAAAACCCTCATTGTCGATTTTGATTGCTCTAGAGATCTTACATCCTTAATTGCAAGACTAAGGATGGGCCATTTTAAAGGTATGAAGATCTCACCAGACAAAACTAGAGCTTACATCCCCTGCAAGAACTGCACCGAGGCCCAACTAACGCCAGACCACATCCTAGAATGTCCGGCCCTTACTCCGCATATTATACGGCTCGGAATGGTGCCACTGGCTTCGGAGCTACGCGAGGTTCTTTACAGCGCGGATGCGCCGAGACTTGCGGAGGCGGTTCAGAGAGCTCACGACATTATCTGATTGTCCATGGACACGACAAAAAAAACAGAATATAAACAAGTAATATGAAAAAAAGTAAGTCAATTCCTACTTTGATCAACAAAGAAAATTTTATTTTAGTTACTTTTTATCAAATAATTACACACACAATTAATATAAATATGTATATGCATTTGAGAGAATCACACTATTAAGTGGCAAAATAGAAAGATTTTCCTAGCAATTTTTTTCATTTTTCTTTCTGTATATCGTGTTGGACTATTATTTTTATTCTCTCTTTCTCTCGTTACTATTTAATCATTCATTAAATTTAATTATAGTATAGTAAAAAGAAATCACACATTCTCAGAAATTAGGCCACCCCAGGTGGTATTCGAACCCACGACTTTTGGATTAGAAGTTCAATTAGCTATCCATTGCATTACAAGGACAAAACGAGCAATTTTCCTTTTTATTCATGGTGTTGAACTTTTTTGTTACTATTTATTCGTTAATTAAATAAAAAAATGAAATAATATTTAAAAAAATCTGTATTAAAATCAAGTGTCCTCCCCTAAAAGTTTAAAAAAAAGTGTTTAAACTTGAGTGCATGAATAAAAAGTATTTTATTAACGATTGAAAATTTGAACAGAATAAATATATATAGGGTGTGATGAAGCCGGTCTCTTCCCCCTAATTGCTAAGAGTGGGGGCCGACAGTCGTGGAAAATTCCAGACATTTCCCTAATTGCTGGGAAAGAATTTCGTAACTGGGTGGTCAAAGATTCGGACCCTCTTTCCCAGGCTATTCCGACCGTCAAAAAGAGACGCCGTAACATTGGGCTTTCATTTTTTGACGATTCGGTGACGACAGCGCGTCTGAAAACTTACAATGTGCACCGAGCCATCAGCGCTCAACCGGCAAGAGATCAAATGGGTCGAGACCGACAGGGGCGGCATAAAAACAAGAGATCAAAGAAGGAATTAGGAGGTGAGCATGGTGAGAGACGAGAGGTATAGAAGGAGAGTGAGGGAGTACGAAAAGGCTCTGTGGATTTGAGGGAACCGTTTTGAAGGCCCCTTCAGCGAGAGAGAAAACGATAGTTAGTTCGCGAAGTACGGTGGATTCCGAACTGTGGAGACTGGACTTTAGGGAACTGTCTGATGCCTCTATAGTGATAAAGAAAAAGCGCGATATTGGATCCGCGAATTAAGGCGGATTCTGAGCCGGAGAAACTTTACGTGAGGGAACCGGATTGGAGGCCACTCCAGCTAAAGACTTGTGATACAGCTATACCCGAGTCTGCGAAGTATGGCGGATTTTGGAACCGTTGAAATTGCGAAGGAGAAACTGCACGGCGGATTTGGAGCCAGCGAACTCTCCCAGACTCGGTGTGGAATTACCGAGAGTGAACCCTTTTTACATATCCCATGTATAGAACTTTTCTCTAGAGTGTCAGTTTATGTCATTATTTTAAGCGAGAGATATGAGACATTGCAGCGAAAGAGACTCGAAATCTGTGGACCTTTTTGCTAATTCATTGTGATAGAATATTTTTTGATGATTCTCTTACTGAGAAATAAATAGTTCATCCCAGAGCTGTTGGAAATCATTACAAGGGAGAGTGTGAACTAATAGTAAAAATTGAAAAAAAGAAATGGGCATCTCTGTTGAAGGAAGTTGAAACTGATCAAACAATGGAAGAGACTGCTGAAATAATGCGTATTAATCATGTTAGCGAAAGTAAGTTTGAGAAAAGCAATGAGAGCAAAAAACGTTTGAGTTAAAAGGAAAATTTTCAGATGCTACCGAAAGAACTCTATCAAGAAAAATAAAGCCATACGTATACCACCAGACACACTTTGCTATGTCAAAAAGACACAAGCAAGAAAAAGTTCAACATTTTATTTATCAATCATCAAAAAAACAATAAAACTACAATAAATTGAACAAAATATGACAGTTTTGCTTGCAAATAATATTCCTGTAATGTTAGCGAAAAGTGTCTGTGATTTGTGTCCTGTACTAAAGTCACGCACATTTGAAAGTTCTTGGTTCAGTTTTATTGATATTTTTTCTCAAACTATGAAAGAAAAATTGAAAAGTCCTTAAAAAGTAGAGAAGTATACTTTCTCTTAGTTAAATTAATCGTTGGAATTTTGATATTTATCGCGTACGATAAAAAATAATTTAAAAAAAAAGGATTGAGTTATAACTCAGTCACCCCGCGCGACCGTTAACGTTAGTATCGAGTGCGTGCCTGCTCTCCAGTTAAACACACTCATTATGTACTGTTTCTCACACATGTTTAAGGTTTAAAATAAATTTTTTAATTAAAGTTAACAGTTCAAGAGAGTCAAGAACTATTGTTAAATATGTGGTTGTTATGTTAATGTTGCACTGTAAGGCAACATGGAGGCTATTGGCGACGGACCATATAATTTTGATCCTCGGTCAAGTGACGAGGACGATAGTCGAGCTGGCACTCCCTCTCCATACTGCCACACCACACCAACGTGATAACTTAGAGCTCAACAGATTTAATGAGGCCGTGGTAGCATAGTATCAAAGTCATGGATTCGTGTCATGAGTTCGAGCCTTGCGCCACTGAAGACCCGTCGTGTAGAGGCTGATGCACGTTAATCTGTCTTGGGTCAATACCCTCCATTAACTAAATTCCAACTGTTGGTGTGGTAGTTCAGAGAAGGGGGCTCCAGCTCAGCTGCCGTCCTTGTCACTTGACCAAGAGCCAAAATTACGTAATCCGTCGCCCAAAGCCTTCGTGTAGCTGAATAGGGCGACGTGAATATTCACTCATTCGACAGATTGAACGTGCACCATCCCCCTCTACACGGCAGGTTTTTAGTGACACCAGAACTCGAACCCTCGGCAGGTAATATAGCAGATAGAATTCTTAAAATGTTGTCAGATATCAAATGTAATAATCCTTGGAATTATTGTACATTATAAAAAAGATAAAATACACACACATTGCTCATAACTTAAAAGTTTTTTTCAGTTAAAGTAATTAAATTTAGAACTTGGTATACCTGAGCCCGAAATGGCATGAGCAAGTAGCTATTGAAGGGCACTTCAGTCTTCAAAAGCTCCTCCTTCTTGTTGACTACAATTTCTGAAAATCTTATCGATAAAACTTTAAATCATTACCCAACTTGACTGACAAAAGTTTTCGGCTTTCATTTCGCACACAATCATTGCTAAATGATTTGATTGAATGACTGATTATATTATAGTCGTGCTTAGAAGTAACACGAGATAAGGGTCGCTCAAATGAAAGTGGCACTACAGTCAGTTTGATAAAGAGTATTAATTATATTAATATAAATTAGTATACAAAGGAAAGAAGCTATACACAAACATAACAGATAGACTAGACAAAATCTCCTTGTAGGTTGAAACAAGTGTCTCAGCGACATGGGTACCCCGAGCAAAGAAGCTACGGTATTGGTTGTGGAATCAATTTTCAACAGCAGCTTGAACCTCATCGTCAGTAGATCACCGTCTCTTCAGCATTTTGGAGTGGACCGATAATGTGGTATTCACATAGCGAGAAGTCCGGGATGTTCGAGAACTTCCCAGCGGAACAGCCGTCACAATATTTGTGGCACACCACAGCCACACGAGAACAAGTATTATGATGCGAGATGATAAACCCGCCCGCCAGCATGCCATGTCAGCGGTTTTTGATAACCTTTCTCAGTTCAAGCAATGGGGCACAACAAGTGGCAGCATTAACAGTTGTATCGTTTTACTCTTTCATGCTTGGTGATACATATATTGGAACCAATTCTTATTCCTTTATTGTAGGATGGTACATACAACGTACCACTTGTTTGAATGCCTCAAAAATTGATGCAAGATAGTACTCTCTGAACCACCTCAGAGGTCAACTCCTAGCAGTTATTCAAGTTTCCAACAAATGTCAGAAGCTCATTGTATGCAATTGGTTTATCCAGTGGGTTATTCTTTGATCAGCTGTGAGTCTGTTGAGTGGTATTTTTTGGAAGTGATTATGTTGTGAAATTTTTAATGTAAATTAAAGTGATTCTCGTGATATTTGATACAAATCAGGTAAGTACATATATTATGTGCAACTAAATAAGTCAATATTACAATAATCAGCAACTTACATGTGCAGTGCTAGAATGAAAATATGCGAGTCCAAAAAATGTACCACCACACTATTGAAAGCCATTTTCTTTACAAATACAAAATGCATTGCAAAATGCCTAAAAGTCCAAGAGACTTTGTGATATATAGTCAAAATTCTCTGCTAAAGAGAGATGAATAATCATATACTAAGCAATTTTTATTACTAGTTCTCAATAACATACTTAACTGGGAATTTCTTAAGAAAAATTAAAAAATTTTTATTCTTAAACTATATTTTTATGAATCAACATTAAAAAAAAGGTGTGATAAAACCTTTAGTAGAAATCCAACTTTTAAACACAACAAATACACCATCAAAAATTCTAATCTTGCCAGATACTTAAGAATTATTATGATTAATAAATTAACCTAATTCTTCAAAATGTCATCAACTTGATAGAAAATTTTAATTACTTATTTCATAATACATTAACAATAATTGAGAAATAAATAAGATGCTCTTAAAATATGCAATAATTTCAGAGAATTTAATTTTTACTGTATTTTCCAAGTCCAAAACCAGATATTGTTGAAGAAATGCATTTAATAAAATTATTTCTTTTGTAACTAGCATATAATTTTAGTTATTTGAAATTTAAAAACAGAATAATATTTTCTAGAAAACTTCATTCTAGAAGTTCCATCAGAATTTACAAACAGACTGATTATTCATTTGCATTTCAAAGCTACAAAAAGGCTTACTGTAACAAACCCTATAATTTTGAACTATGCAGATAAATGACAAGGATCATACCCCTCCTTGTCACTATACAGAAGGTTAAGAATTCCCAGATTCTATAAAGAAGAATTCTCAGACTCACTTATAAAAAATTATATGCTCTCACAGCTTTAAAAGTGAAATCAATTGAACTATATTTCTGTATATACAAAATGAAATTAAAATATTTTTTTCTTCCTTTGATGTAAGAGTTCAGATAAATATTTTAGTACATACAAGCAGGGATTTATTTCTAAATATAATTATAAATTACTTCATTTAAAAAAAAGTATTCGTAAATATTTTTATTTGGATAAAATTTAAAAAAATGAATCATCTTCATTAATCTAATTTAGATATACAAACTGCTTCAATTAATATTTCCTTTGAATTAAGTCCTATGTATACATACAAGTATGTTATGAGTCCTTGTATGTTTAAAGTAAACTTAAAAATATACTTAAGCTAAACTTGGAACATATTCAAGTTATATTTACGTTGCACAATAAACTTGCAAAAGGGCTATTGGTGATGGACCACATAATTTGGAACAATGGTCA